TAATTATTCTATTCTCTTATTGTTTTGTGTTTTATCATTTTAAGATTCTTGCTTTTTTCATTTTTTTTTCTTTACCAACTTTCAATATATTATTCAATCATATGTTATTCTATTTCTAAATTGTTTCTTATTACTTGACAGATTTGCATCTAAATGATGATCAGCTAAAGAGTTTAGCTCTTACAGAAATAGAAAAGATTTTGTGCAGAAATGGCAAAACTTTGGGTGATTATCCTTCACTTCAGGTTCCAGAAAGCATAAATCTTAATGATTTTCATAACAAGCTCATCCAAGATGAGTTAAACTACAACAAGGAGTCTCTAGCAATCGAACATACTGAACTTCTAAGTAGCTTAACTACTGAACAGAGACATGTATATGATAGAATTATCGACGCTGTTTTTGAGAATAATGGTGGAGTTTTTTTCGTTTATGGATATGGTGGTACGGGAAAAACATATCTGTGGAGAACATTAACTTCTGGCTTACGTTCAAAAGGTGACATTGTACTTACCGTAGCTTCAAGTGGTATTGCCTCTCTTTTGTTGCCTGGTGGAAGGACTGCTCACTCACGATTTGGTATCCCGTTGTCTATAACTGAAGACTCAACATGCAACATAACACAAGGGAGTCCTCTCGCTGAGCTATTAATTAAAACAAAGCTCATCATTTGGGACGAAGCACCTATGGTCCATAGGTTTTGTTTTGAAGCTCTTGACAGGAATTTAAGAGATGTGCTCAGATTTTCAAATCCCAATAGTTTAAATCAACCTTTCGGGGGAAAAGTGGTTGTGTTCGGAGGAGATTTTAGACAAATATTACCAGTGATTCCTAAAGGCAATAGGGCTGATATTGTGTTTGCCACGATAAATAGTTCATATTTATGGGACAGCTGTCAGGTTTTGACTCTCTCTCAAAATATGAGGTTACAATCAAGCTCTTCGAACAATGAAGTTTCCGAATTAAGAGAATTCTCAGAATGGCTATTGAGTATTGGTGACGGTAG